GCCCCAGTGGAAAACAACCGTCTCAACATCCCGAATTGTATCAAAACGCAGCTCCTGGGACTTCAACGCCGCGAATCAACGTGACTTTGCGTCATGACAGTCCTACATCGTGCCAGTACACCATTCTTGGGACTTCAACACCGCGAATCAAGGTGACTGTTGCGACCTGGCATGTCTAAATCGTGCCAGAACGCCGTTCCTGGGCCTCTCAACCGTACGAACTTTTTAACGTTGAAAACTTTTACAACGAATGTGCGCGGCGCTAAGGCGAGAGCCACACTTTGAAACAGAGCCGCCCTCCATCCTTAAAGCTGTTGCAAACTGTTAATTACGACGAATGTGCGCGGAGCTACGGCGAGAGCCACATTTTGGAAACCACCCGCCCTTCATCTTTGGATGTGCTGCGAAGTTTAAAACAAATGTGCGCGGCGCTGAGGCGACAACCACATTTCGAAACCGACCCACCATCCATTCTCAAAGCTGTTGCAGTAATCTCCGAAAGACCATGTGCGTGTCGCGAAAACGAAGGCCGCATGTTGAAGACCACCCGCCCCCATCTTAGAAGATGTTGCAAGCTTGGAGAACGAATGTGCGCGGCGCTGATGCGAGAGACACATTTTGGAAACCACCCGCCCTTCATCTTTGGATGTACTGCGAAGTTTAAAACAAATGTGCGCGGCGCTGAGGCGACAACCGCATTTCGAAAACGACCCACCATCCATTCTCAGAACTGTTGCAGTAATCTTCGAAAGACCATGTGCGTGTCGCGAAAAAGAAAGCCACATGCTGAAGCAACAGGGAGAAAGAGGAGGAGAAGGATGATGATGATGATGATGATGATGATGATGATGATGATGATGATGATGATGATGATGATGATGATGATGAGGATGAGGAGGAGGAGGAGGAGGAGGAGGAGGAGGAGGAGGAGGAGGAGGAGGAGGAGAGGGAGAGGGAGAAGGCTCCATCTTTGAAGATGTTGCAAGCTTGGAGAGCGAATGTGCGCGGTGCTAAAATGCGAGAACCGCTTTTAGAAAAAAGCCCGCCCTCCGCCCCCGAAGCTGCTGCAAGCTTCCAAGAGACGAATTCGCGCACAACAGAGCGCACGCCACACTCTGAAGATGACCCGCCCTACATCCGTGAAGTTGTTGCAGGCTTCGAGCGCCGAAATCATCAGTGGCGGGGAATTTCTGAGGCGAAGCGCCCGGCCCGCAATGCCAACGCGTTTTGGGGGTGCGGCACGGAAGAGCTATTCATAGGGGCAAGGGGTAGGGGAGGAGGAGGAAAGGGAGGAGGAGGAGGAGGAGGAGGAGGAGGAGGAGGAGGAAGAGAAGAGGAGGAGGAGGAGGAGGAGGAGGAGAAGGAAAAGGAGGAAGAGGAGGAGGACCAATCTTAACCCAAAACGCATCAACAATCATGCAACACACCATCCCTTCAACTTTCCTCTTACGTCCTACAATATTTGATTTTCATCGTGAGAAATGCACCATTGAAAGACAACCGTCTGCGAACCCCCAATCGTGCCAAAACGCGACTCTTGGGACTTCATCACCACGAATCAATGTGGCTTTTTTGTCCTGACAAAACTGAACCGCGTCAGAACATCCTTCTTGGGGTTTCAACATTGTGAATCAACGTGACCATTGCGTCCTGACAATCCTAAATCGTGCCAGAATGTAGCCCTGGGACTTCAATGACAAACTTTGGAAACGAATGCGCCCGTCGCTGAGGCGAGAGCCACAGGTTGAAAAGGAACGGCCCACCATTCTTGAACCTATTACAAATTTCATCATGCGTAAGCGTGGCGCTGATGCGAGAGCCTCTTGGAGCCGCCCTCCATCGTTGACATGGTGCAGACTTTTAGGACGAACGAGCGGCGCTCAAACGAGAGCCACATTGTGAAAGCCACCCGTCAAGCGTCCTTGAAACTGCTGCAGAGTTGTAGGACGAATGTGCGCGGCGCCACGGCGAAAGCCACATTTTGAAGAGGCTCCATCCTGGGAGCTGTCGCATGCTTGAAAAATGATTGCGCGCTCAAGGAAGGGCCAGATTTAGAAAAGGGCCCGCCGCCCGTCCTCGAAACTGTTGAGAACTTTCAAGGCGACGGTGCGCGGCGCTGAGGCGAGAACCACATACAACAAACCACCCACACCCGTGAAACTGTTGCAGGCTTTTCGAACCTTTTCCGTTTTGACCCAAGTGGTTCCTGGGCCCATGCAAGGCCTGGGCCGAAGGGCCTGTGTGGGAGCGAGGTGGGCTCCCACACAGGCCGAAAAAGGAAACAAGGCAAATCGCCCAGGCAGAGGGGGCCGACTGTGTGAGTCCGAAGATCCCGGCTCATATCCTGGGTGTTGAAGCCTCCGAAGGCTCTCCTACGAGAGGCTCCCGCCTGTCTCAGCACCGATCTGGCCAAGTCCGCGGCAATCCTCCTCTGACGGGCTTCGTCCTCAGAGTCGGTGTCCCCGGGAGGGCCCGAAGGGCCAAGGAGGTGCCTGCGTGGGCCTCAGACGAGATGGTCCAAGTCCTGGGGTCGAGAGGGCATTCTACCACCATTGCTGCCCTCTTGGGATGTTGGTCACGAGCAATGGCCGACCAAACTCTCCTGCCGAATCGGGTCGGGGTGCGCAATCATCGCTCTCGCACACGTTTGAATCTGCAACGAGAGGATTACGCTTTACAGGCCGTGCAAATGAAGAAAGTGGCGCCATCCGAGCAATCTTAGGCTATTCACGAGTGCCCGAAGTCGCGAATCTCTGACATAGGGAAATCGCGGAATCCAGGGCCAGCGGCGGGAGGGGGCCTGGATGACCACCTCCTGCGAGAGGCCGTGCAGCACTCCGAGCACTTCCAAACTGTGCCGTAGTGCTGCCAAAACGTGCACGCCTTAGGAGATCCTGGCTGGCCTCGGGGGGCAGACATGCTCGACCTCTCCGAAATCCCGCGGCGAGCCAACTTGGGGGGAGAATATGCGGAGCCAGCAAACAACAAGCTCTGGTATACGAAACATCCTGGGTGGTTCCAGCCTCCAGATCCAAGTCGACTGGATGACGAGAAAAGGTCGCGCTTGGCCAGCTTGTCGGCCTGGTCGTTGCCAAGTCTCCCAAACTGAAGCCCTTCAGATATAGCATCGTCGCTTAGCGGCTGGTGCGCCCTGACGTGATACACCTCCTGCAGGAACTTGAAGCCTTCCTCGCTCCTGGCATGGAGGAAATGACCAGCATATAGTCTCTTGTGACTGAGCTGAGCCAACCTAGGGGGAACGTCTTGATAACATTCTCGCAATCCGAGACACGGGTACAGGGGCCAGACAGGAGCTGACCTCCAGCAAAAGTCGCGCAAAACTCACCTGCTTGAGGCGTCTGGGGCACGTGAGCCCAAACGGGCCTTGCGGCAGTTGCGATGAATTCCTGGCTCTGGCTGGAAAGAACCACACTCCATGAGGCCCTGGAAAGCTCCTCAATCACTTTCCTAGAACAGGAACCATCCACGAACAAAACACCTTCAAACAGTCCTGCCTGTGGGGGTTGAATATGCCACCTGAGGTCCAGAACGTCGTCTTCCATTTGAACTGGAGGGGGGTGTCGTTCACCTGGGTGAGGCAGGGCACCATGGGTAACAACGTATCAGAAGACGAACGGTAATCCATAGGAGACCCAAGAAGATCAGAACCAACCAACTCCTCTCGTTTAGCTTCCAGCTTGGGGAATTCCCACAGTCTGTGGAACATAGAATCCGTGGCCACGCCGCAAAGCTCGCACTCGAAAGGGAACCGGTATCCTCGGCTCCTGGCTATCATACGAGTCCAAATGCCTTCGCAAACACAGCTCCGAAGAGACCGTTTTAGGAGAGGAGTATACTTAGAGGAGGACAAGTAAGAGGATACGACGTCGTAGCACAGCCTGCCGTGCCCGAAGCAGTGCTTGCGGGCAAGGTCTCTCTCGAGTCTCCTAAGAACGGCCGAACGAAGATGAGTCCCTAAAAGGGCAGGGGTAATGAAAACAGCTCGTGCAAATTTCCGAGGCCGTCTCGCAACCTGTTGAACTCCAGCATCTCCCAACCCAACTCCTTGAGGGTCATATACGTACCCGAGAGGGGCCCCGAAACTCCTCTCCAAGTGTTAGGGGGACGGGTCCAGACGTTGTGCCACCAACGCTTGAGGAAGGAATGGGGGTGGAGGCTTCGTGGAGGTTGCTGGCAGAGGTCCCGACCTCCAGATGCCAGCTGCAAGTGACGGCGACCTGCGTAAGCCAGGTAGGGCCCCCATTCGAGCAACATGAGGGTGGACAGGGAACGCTGTCCCGAGGAAGGCTCGATGAGGCAGCCCACACGCAAGCTCTTCGAACGCGCGCGGCGTTGAGTTGGCAATCGCAGTTTGAACACCACTCGCCCTCCATCCTTGAAGCTGTTGCAGAATTCAAGCTTCAGAGGAGGAGGAGGATGAGGGGGGGGAGGGGGAGGGGGAGGAGGAGGAGGGGGAGGAGGAGGAGGAGGAGGAGGGGGAGGAGGAGGAGGAGGAGGAGGAGGAGGAGGAGGGAGGAGGAGGAGAGAGGAGGAAGGTGAGGAAGTCTCAGGCGAAACGCCTGGACCGCCCCACTGAAGTGTCTGGGGCGCGACCGGGGGGAGGTATCTACAAGGAGCAGGGATGGAGGAGGGCAGGAGGAGGAGGAGGAGGAGGAGGAGGAGGACGAGGAGCAGGAGGAGGAGAGGAGGAGGAGTGGAGGGGGAGGGGGAGGAGGAGGAGGAGGAGGGAGGAGGAGGAGGAGGAGGAGGAGGAGGAGGAGGAGGAGGAGGAGGGAGGAGGAGGAGGAGGAGGGAGGAGGAGGAGGAGGAGAGGAGGAGGAGGAGGAGGAGGAGGAGGAGGAGGAGGAGGAGGAGGAGGAGGAGGAGCAGCAGCAGCAGCATCAGCAGCAGCAAGAGAGTGGGAGAGGCGTAAAACCTCGACCGCGCGCCAAGCCCACCGGCGCGCGGAGCTCGCCAGCGAGTTGGCCGGCGAGGAAGAGCTAGCCCCTGGACCGGAGCCAGCTCCCAGGAGGCATGCCGGGAGGCGCGGCGGCAGGCGTTCCCGGAGGCGCGCCTGGCGGCGCTCCCAGCGGCGACCGCTGCGGCGCTCGCGGCGGCACCCTCGGCGGCGCAGTTGGTACCTTTCGCGACGGAGGTGCGCGCCTGGGCGCGCCCATGGGGCCTGGCGTGCCGTTCGGCGAGGGGGCCGTCGGTACGGCCGCCTGCACCTGGGACGGCGAGTCCAGGCCGTCCCGAGGCACCTCGCGCTGCTGGCCCAGTCGGACTGCGGCCTGGTAGCTGGCTTCGGCCCCTGCGGCATCTCCCAGCGACGACAGGGTCACGGCCAAGGCGTAGTGCAGCGCGGCGGCTGCGGGGTCCAATCGCAATGCCTCTCGGAAGGTCTTTTCGGCACCAGCGAAGTCCCCGCGCTCTGCCAGAGCCTTGCCCAGGTTGTACAGCACTTTCGGCTGCTGCGGGTCCAGGCGCAGGACGGCCCGGAGCCCCTCCTCGGCACCTGCCCTATCCCCCCGCTGTGCCAAGACGTAGGCGAGACCGTGTTGTGCTTCCAGGTGTCGAGGGTCTAGCTCGACTGCGGTGCGGAGGCTCTTCTCCGCGCCAGCCAGGTCTCCCCTTTCGGCCAGATCCGCCCCGAGGATCGTGTGAAGCTGGGCGCTGTCGCCGTGCGACTGGAGCACCCGCAAGATGGCCTCTTCGGAGTCGCGCGGCCTCGGATCTGCCTCCGAGCAGCCTGTCCCCAGCCACCATTCCGCCACCAGCACTCGCCGCCGGCCGCTTCGCACTGGGCGCACTCGGTGCACGTCCCAGCCCCGCCACGCGACGACGTCACCACGCCGGAGATCTGACACCGTGTGCAGCAGCTCCCTGCCCTGCTGGCGGTCGCGCACCTGCAGCTCGCCGCCGTCGAAGTGCTCCCCGGCGGAGGACAGCGCCACGGCCATGGTGCAGACAGTGGCCCCGTCGTGGTGCCAGCCCAGCGCGTTGCTCGCGTCGCTGAGCTCCGTCGCTTCGCTTACTCGGCCACGCGTGGAGAGGGATCCTGGGGGAGAATGCCTTTCGGTGCGCGCCGTCCGGGGCCCACGGGGGGCCGAATCCCAGCGGGCAAGCCGGTCCAGGCCAGCGCCGGAGGGACCCCCCTCGGCCCGCACCGGAAGGCCACTCCGGCGAAGGGCCACTCTCACGCGAAGCCGACCCATGGCCTGAGACAGCGCCCCGGCCTCGCTGGCCCTGGGGAAGTATTCGATCGCCTCCAAGCATCTCAGCGCGGGCCTCCGCGACCCCTGGCAGTACTCAGAGAGCGCCCACGCCGGCAGCGCGGCGGCGGCCCCCAGCGCCAGCCCCCAGAGCCAGGCGAGCAACGCCTCCGGCGCGTGCTCGTGCAAGTACGTCACCGTGTGCCCCGTCGCCCGGCCCGTGTTCTCGCCGAAGTTGCGCTGCCGGTGGAAGAAGACAAGCAGGCGCGAGCATCAACTCTCGGAGGCCCGCGCGGACTTCTCGGACCGGCGCCGGATGCCTCGCCACCCCGGTCGAGCGGAGCACGCCACGTGGCGGCACACCAGAGGCGGCGCCAGGGGGGGTCCAGCGCAGGTCCAAGAAATCCGCGCGGACCTCCGACAGTTTATGCTTACTCAGAGCTCCGAATCATCAGGGGTAACTCGGGTCAGGGCTAACTCGGGTTCGTCCAGACCCAGAGTTACCCCGGGCCCTACCCCGGATAATTCGGGCGTCCAAATCCCAAATCATCAGGGGTAACTCGGGTCAGGGCTAACTCGGGCTCGTTTTTCGGGAATCCGAACCCGAGTTGCCCCGGACCCGAGTTACCCCGGATAACTCGGGCGACCAACTTACAATCATCGTGCTGCCACTCCGGAATCCTAGTGAATTCCGATTCAAAACGAACCCTCTTGAAATTCGAAATCTTCATCAAAAGGGGTCCTCCTCTTGAAATCCGAATCCAAAGGGCACCGAGCTAGGAACGACGCGGCTCGCCTGGCCCCGGCCAGCCTCGGCCCCGAGCAGGCGCCCCGACTGGGGGACCACTCGGGAGCGGCCTGGATCCCCGAGCAGAACTTGCGAGCCTCCAGCCAGCGGCCCTCACTTCAGCGTCTCGACCGTGCGCGCCGCGTTCCACGGGCGCCGAACTTCGCGCTTCGCGCTGCGCGCTGCGCGGAGCTCGGGGTGCGAGCAGCTTCGCGCTCTCGCGCCGTCCCCCCGAGGGAGAAATGGGGAGGGCGAGGAGGAGACGGAGCCGCACCGCGAAGCGCCGGGCGCGAAGCACCTCGCGCCCCCGAGGGCGCCCCTGCTTTCTCTTCTTCGAGCTGGTCGACGAGGTGCTCGAGCCCGCTGCCCCGCACCTCCCGCACCAGGGCCTCCAGCTGCTCGAGCCGATGCTCCGTCGCGCCCCCGCGGAGCACCGCGGCCAGCGGCCTGCCGGCGCTGCCGCGCGGCAGCTCGGCGAACGCGCGCGCTGCGGCGAGCGACGCGCCGGCCACGCCGAGCGGCAGCGCCGCGAGGAGGCGCCGTCGGCCCTGGCGGCGCGACATCGCGCAAGAGGCCCTCCTTCGGCGGCAGCCGAGAACAGGGCGGGGCTTAAGCCCGAGCGGCCACAGAGCGTCGCGGCGGTATCAGCCGGGCGCGGGGGGTGCCCGCCTCGTGGCATCAAGCGGGGGGTGAGCAGGAGGGGGAGGGGAGGAAGATCACGAGGGACGTGGGGATGGCGTGAAGCCTGCGGCGTGACACGCGACAGGAGGAACGGGGCCGTGCTGAAACGACACGGGCGAGGCACAGCTGGAAGTATGACAAGGCACGACACGACGCCGAGCATCGAAACGACACAGCAACGCGCGGCAAACTGGGGGAGGACGGACGAAGGGAGGAGATGGAGGGACCACGGAGGAGGCGAAGGGGCGGAGGAAGGGCGTATGAGGACGAGGGAGGAGGGATGGGGGGAAGAGGGAGGATAACAGCCTGCGAACTAACCAATCCAGCCAACCATGTCCTGGTGCTTATGACTTAGCTTGGGGCGCCCGCGTTCCCTTGGTGGCTTCTTCGGCCGTGCAAGGCCCCGCATAGCCGACATTGCTTTTTCCAGACCCACGCAAAACCCTGGCAGTGCAAATCAAGACCGCTTCGGAACCCACGTGTCTCTTGGCCCCCGCGCCCTCCTGGGCGCTCCTGGACCTTTCCCAAACCAGAGACCTACTAGATGGGGATCAAGTAGATGGGTTCGGACGATCGCGCCGCATCGCTGATGCAGATGCATCGGTGATGTGTCGGCAACGTCGGCGATGCATCGGCGACGCCAGCGTGGAGAAAATCGAGCTCCACCTCGAGCCGCATCGCCGATGCACCGGCGATGCGGCGCGATCCTCCGACCCCATCTGCGCGGACCCCAGCTGGGAGGCCCAGAACAATGCGGGCGCGCAGGGAGAAACTCTTTCGAGCCCAAGGGCAATGATTTTGGGCCCCCGCGCTCCCCCGGGGCCCCTGCAATTGCCTGAGGCCCAACGATAAGTGGTCGGGGCACGAACAATTGACACTGAGCTTCTGCGTTCGCCTGGGCGCATCTGGGGCACCGCAAGGCCCTGGAACCACATCCGCCTCTCTTCGAAGCTCGCAAAACGCTCTGGGCCCATGCGCTCCGTTGGGCGTCGTTCGGGCCCAGCATAGCCCTCAACGTCCTGGAATTGTCACTTGCGTGCCAGAAGTTTCTTCGGGATTCCTGCGCTCTCCCGCACCTTCTGGGGCCCCAGCAGGGCCCGACGCAGGCAGAGGTGGCCCCTTTGTGAGCCCCATGAGCTAGTGTTGGACTTCTGCGCCCTCCTGGGCGCATTCGAGATCCTGCATCTCCGTGGACACTCAGAAACAATTGTGCGGGCCCACCAAAGACTTTGTGGACCCCTGCGGCACCCCAGGCGCCCCGGGCCCTGCGAGGCCCTGGCAACGCTGCCCTGAAGCCCCACAACCTCCACAAGCTGCTCACACCTACGGTCGGGAACTTTTGCATATCGGCGGCGACGATAGGGGCGAGTAGCCCAGGGGCGGGCATTACACGTATTCGCCCGAGAGCTTTTTCGAAGACGTAGATCATCGGCGCACCTGAGTACATGTATTGCTCTCCCCTTGGCTATTCGCCCCTATCGTCGCCTCTGACTTTTGCATAGCGTGTCGCGGCGGCGGTCCCAGCGAGACGCTGTGCCCTGCGAGCGGACCGCGTGTCGCGCCGCTGCGCGGGGCGAAGGCCTGGAACAGCTCGGCACGTGGGCGCTTGGGGGCCGCGACGTGGATCGCGTGTGGCGCCGAAGCGTGGTGGGCCAGAACCAGCGGAGCGACACGCTACCCCAAAAATCTTGACCGTAATCGATCTCCTCGCAGTTGATCTCTCCGCTCACATCCTCGCCGGCGCAGGCGAACATCTGGTCGCTGACGTGCCTCATATCCCCCTCCTCCTCCTCTTCCTCCTCCTCCTCCTCCTCCTCCTCCTCCACCTCCTCCGCCTCCTCCTCCTCCTCCTCCACCTCCTCCGCCTCCTCCTCCTCCTCCTCCGCCTCCTCCTCCTCCTTCTCCTCGTCTCCAAGGCCCTGGAGGGTCCCCGGGAACGTACCACCAAGGCCAGGCGGGGGGCGCGAGCACCCGGCGACAGTCCAAGGGCGTGTCGTTCTGCGGCGTCTCTGGGGCCCCGGTTGGGGCACCAGGGCAAAGCACCCACAAGAGGCGGGTGTGTCACCTTCCAGCCAACAGAAGCCCTTCGGGACGCAATGGTTCTTGCTTGCGCATCCAAATGCTCATGAGGGCCCGGGAGGGGCACGCTCGTGTCCCAGCCCTCCAGTGTTGTAGGGTCCTGGCCTTGAGTCCGCAGCGCAGCGCGTCTCACCTCACCTCTTCCGCCTCCCCCCCCCCTCCTCCTCCTCCTCCTCCTCCTCCTCCTCCTCCTCCTCCTCCTCCTCCTCCTCCTCCTGCTCCTGCTCCTGCTTCTGCTTCTGCTCCTGCTCGTCCTCCCCCTCCTCCTCCTCCGCCTCCTCCTCCTCCTCCTCTTCTCCCTCCTCTTCTGCCTCCTCTTCTTCTTCTTCTGCTTCTTCGTCTTCCCCCTCCTCCTCCTCCTCCTCCTCCTCCTCAACCTTGTGCTGTTTCGTTCCAGCCCTCCTGCGTTGTTGGGTCCCTGTTTTGAATGCATAGGCAGCGCCGCGCGTGTCCTCACCTCTTCCCCATTCCCCCTTCCTTCCCTCCTACCCTTACTTCCCTCCTCCCCTCCTCCTCCTCCTCCTCTGCCTTCTTCTCCTCCCTTCTCCTCCTCCTCCCCCTCCTCCTCCCCCTCCTCCTCCTCCTCCTCCTCCTCCTCCTCCTCCTCCTACTCCTCCTCCTCTCCCTGCCTTTGCTTTGCTCCTCTCGTGCTTTTTGGCAGACCCCTCACGCATGTCGTAGCCCCTTCTACGGAGCTCCATCTGCGGCCTCTGTGAGCGCAGACGCATGGGGGTCCGTGCCCCTTTCGGGGTGCACCCCTCGAGCAAGTCGTGGCCCCATGGAGAGGCCTATCCGTTTACGGTCCCAGTGATCCCAGCGGGCGCATACGTATGTGGGCCCGCGCCCATTTCGGCAACCCCTCGAGTGGATCGCGGCCCACAGGAAGCGCCACCCACGGCCCCGGTGGGCCCGACCGCATGCGACCACCCGCACTTGGAGAGAGGCTGAAGCATCAAATGCCAAAGTTCACTGCAAGTCATGGTGAAGCCAGCAAGGGTGGAGGGCGTGTGGTGCCCCTCCGGGTAGATGGCGGCAGGCTTATGGCGCGCCCACCTCTGGCTGTCGAAAGGCCTCTCGTGCCCTTCGGCGCCCACCCCGTGCCGTCCACAGGGGCTTCGCTCCTCTCCCTATGGTGGGGGGACTGGTGGACGGGCCGCCCCCCTTCCCCCCTGGCGTGGCAAGTGCTGTGCCAGGGCTGGTGGGGATTGTTTTTTGCAGAAAGAGCAGTAAAAGTTCCCCGCCTCCCATTCCAGGGGACCCAGCCCTCAGGGAGCCCCCAAAAAGAGGAACGGCGGGAGCGGCACCGCCCCCCCGGGGGGGGGGTAGAATGGAGAAGGGGGGCACGCAAGCAACGACTGCACGATGAAGCACCGGGGCCGTGATAAGACCCAGCCTGTGACGCTGACCCACAGGATTTTCATTGCACCATTCTTCTGACACTGGCTTGATGCGGCTTGGATGCGCGGATCGGCTGAAGTTGCTCCCATCGTACTTCAGGACCACATCCCAGAAATAGTTTCGAGCACCCAGAGAAGTGTCGAGAGAGGCCCGACACAGTGTCGGACGAGTGCCCCCCCGGGGCCCGACGCGTGAACGCCCTCGAGCCTCGGCACTTTTTCGCGGTGCTCGGGATGCTTCCTGGCGGGCGAGGCTGCCGCAGGCTGGACCACCACACGGGGGCAGGCCGGCGCAAACACGAGGCAGCGCCTGCGCCTCGCGGCGCGGCCGGCCTCCGCCACCCCATGGGGGAGCCCTCTCCGCCTGCGGCCCCACGGATGCTCCTCGATGGTCCTCGCCGAAGGAAAAACGCACACGTCCGAGCGATGCCGAGCCTGCGACCGCACGCGAGGGCCCCCGCACCGGGGACTCTCGCGCCCCTCCCGGCGCGCGCACTCCTCGCGCGAGGCGTGGCCCCGCGGTTCAGAGGAGCGCTCCGCCCACGCCTCGGCGGGCGGAAGGCCGCACGCGGGCTCGCGCGCCCCCCCGTCGGAGCAGCCCTCGCGGGGAGCGTGGGCCCCTGCGGAGCTCTGCACGTGTGTGGTCTTGGCCCGGCCTTCGCATGCAGCTCGGCGGTGGACAAAAGCCTCCCTTTCGTGAGCCTCCCCTCAGTGAGAACGGCCTGGAGCCGAAGCCGACGGGCCCGGACCCGCAGAAACGGCGGCCGCGACGCCCTCTCGCGAACCGAAAACGGCCAGTTCCTGAATCGACGTGTCGCTGTAGGAGGTCTATCCGACCCCGAGCAGGGGCCTGGCCGCACGTCTGTCCGCGCTCCTCTTCGGCATGCCGCTCACGCGGACCGCGGCCCCCCTGCAGAGTTCCACCCTGCGGCCCCGGTGGGTCCGGCCGCCTGCGGGCCCGCGCCCATCTCTCGGCACCATCTCTCGCGCAGGTCCTGCCCCTGTGGGGAGCTTCACCTGCGGCTAGGTCGGCCCTGGCCCCCGTACAGGGGGACTTTGGGCGAAACATTAAGACATAGTACAGAAATACCAAGCAGATGCTCAAAAATGGTCAAACAATCGTCCCCCGACTACTTCTTGACTATTTTTGAATATTCCTCCTGTAGAGGGACAGGCCCGACTTAAACCTACGGTCTCAGTGGGTCAGACTGCATGCGATGCGCCGCCTATCTCGGCACTCCAGGCGGCGTCCATTCTGCTTCGTCTCCAACGTCCCCGAACTCCATCCCTCTCGCGGCGCGCGGTCCATGAGGAGAAAACCATATCCTGGACTACAAACAGCTGTGTTGGGTTGCCCCCTGGCCATTTTCGCGTCCCGTCTCCAGGGCCCCACTGGGCCCCAGGGCCCAACACAGCACGACGCAACGCGACGCGCGGCCACCATGGGAGAAGGAGGAGGGAGGATGAGGCGGAGGTAGGAGAAGAAACATACAAGGGAAACCATAGGAAAACCCAAACCGAAGAACCTGAACGCCACATGAAATTCTAGCTCTTTCATCCGCCCCGTCCAAGAATTCAGAAATCCGCAAAAAGAAGGCTGAAACAAACAACACGTTTTCTGGGCCAGTGGGCCGAATTGCAACTCAAAATGCATGTCAGACACATCCTTCGCAATCCTGGTTCGACGTGACACGGAATATAGACACGAAGCGACACGACACGATGAACAATCCAACAAGACTCGGAACGTCACGGCGCATCATGGAACACGGTGGGCGCACGGGCATTAACCATTAACCACATGGCGCGCGACGACACGACACATCGGCTTGATGGGATGATGAGGCGGACGAGGCGGACGAGTCACTGAGCTCGTCTCTCGCAAGCTGCCCTACGGGCAAACAGTCTCGGCTAAAAAAGTTGCTCGAGGCCAAGCGGGGTGGACACAGCCTCGTACAGAAAAACTGCTGGACACTTTTTTCCCAACGCAATCCAGCTGTGATCGGCAGGCGACGACGCGTGAGGCAAGGCCGAGTGAAGCACAGAGGATTCCACAGAGGCGCATCCTACAGAGGTGCGTCGAGGATGAGAGATGCCAAGACCTTTGTGGCGCGCTGTGGTGGCACGAAACAAGCTTCTCACCAACAGACAATGCTCACGCCGCCGTCCAAAACAGCGCCGCGAGGCGATAGTTAGCTCCGCTTCGAGAGGTCCCGCATGTCGTGCTGAGACAGACATCCTCGGCGAAAACACTAACTGCCAGGGAGTCGTGTCACAGGACACGAAACTCCACATCCTGGACACGAGCGCGCTCAGCCCTGCTGGCCGGTGGCCTCGCGCCAGCACTGCTCCCACGCCCCGACGCTCTTGAAGGGGTGGAAGGCCGCCTTGCCGCCCTCGCTGCAGACGGCCCCGGTGCACAGGGCGTCGCCGATCTCATCGGTGTCCAGGAAGGCGTTGACGCCGAGGTGGTCCAGGCAGTGGGACAAGAAGTAGTCCTCGCCCCAGCTCTGCCACTCCAGCTCGTTCCTGCACTGCTCTGCGCCCTCCCAATACCTGGCCAACGCCTGCTTGGAGATGGCCTCCGCCGCCCCGAACATCAGTGGCCAATCCGGCCCGTCGTACTTGTTGCAATTCTTCACGTAGGTGGCCGAGCCGGTCGCGTCCTTCAATTGAATGCGGAAACGATCAGCCAGGACGACGGCGTCAGGGTCCGCCTTCACCGCCCAGTCCACCTGCTCCCACCGGCCGTCTTTCTTGATGCCCTCCCAGGCCATCAAGAACACCTCAGTGTTGGCGGCGGTGCCGTCCTTGGACCAACCGCCGCCGCTGCCGGTCTTCACGGGCAATTCGGTGAGCGGGAACCCCCCGTTCATCGTGCCCGGATCGTCGGCGAAGACGATGGTCTCGTCGCAGCCGAAGATGCCAGCCGAGTGGTCGTGCTGGAAGTTCAAGATGGTCATCTCCTCCCCGTACCGCGCGACGGAGTAGCAGATCAGGGCTGGGAATTCATACTGCTTGGTGGTCGTGGTGACAGTCGTGACGGTAGACGTGGTGGTGCTCGTGGTTGGCATGGCGCCGATCGCGCAGAAATCCGTGCAAGTCTTCTTGTCGAAAGGCCCGGCCTTCCAGGGCTGGCAAGCGCCAGCCTGGTCGCCCTTGTTGCAAAGGTAGCCTCCTTCAGGGCCGTCTCGCCAGTCGCTGGGGCAGTCCTCGACATCGTCGGGGCAGAACGGGATGCCACCGTTGTCCTCTGCAGTCAGTGCCGCCCCCTTGCCTTTCTTGGCGGGCACCTCGGGTTTCTCAATCCCTGAGGCATTTGCAGAGTCTGCGCCAGCCTCGCCTTCAGCCTCGGTTTTGTCCTCGTCTTTGTCGGCCGCCTGCTTCAGCTTCTCCAGGACATCCGCGGGGACGGTGCCGATGACGCACTGGCCTGGGCACGCCTCGGGGTCGAAGGGCCCCGTTGCCGCGGCCGCGCAGCCGTCGTCGGCGGGGCAGTAGAAGCCGCCGGTCGGGCCGTCCGCCCACTCCCTCGGGCAAAACTTCAGGTCGGCCTCACAGGCTGGGAGGATGCCGTCGGCGGGCTTCGTGGCGGGAGCGCCCTCGCAGCCCTTCTGCTCCTTCTCGCAGCAGGCCTTCTTCTTCTCCGCGGACCACCCCGCAGCCCAGTTGGAGTAGCCCGCCTCGCAGTCGAAGTCCTCTTTTGCCTCGCAGCCCTTCTGCTCCTTCTCGCAGCAGAACGCCTTCTTCTCCGCGGACCACCCCGCAGCCCAGTTGGAGTAGCCCGCCTCGCAGTCAAAGTCCGCCTTGGCCTCCAGAGGCTTGGCGTCAGCGGGGGGCGCCTCCAGCGCGGCCTCGCCAACAGCCGCTGTCGGCTCGGCGTCTGGCGCCGGTGCTGCAGCGTCCGGGGCGGCGGCGGCCGCCTCCGCAGGGGCCTTCGGCGCCGCGGCATCCGCGGGCGCGGCGGCGGCGGCGTCTACCGGGGCGGCGGCCGGCTCCGCGGGGGCCTTCGGCGCCGCTGCGGCGTCCGCGGGGGCCTTCGGCCGCGTCCACCGCTGCGGGCTGCCTCCGCAGGGGCCTTCGGCGCTGCGGCGGCGGCCGCGTCCACCGGGGCGGCGGCGGCGGGCTCCGCGGGGCCTTCGGCGCCGCTGGCGGCGTCCGCGGGGGCGGCGGCGGCGGCGGCCGCGTCCACCGGGGCGGGCGGCGCGGCTGCCTCCGCAGGGGCCTTCGGCGCTGCGTTATCCGCGGGGGCGGCGGCGGCGGCGTCTACCGGGGCGGCGGCTGGCTCCGCGGGAGCCTTCGGCGCCGCTGCGGCGTCCGCGGGGGGCGGCGGCGGCGGCCGTCCACCGGGGCGGCGGCGGCGGCGGCCGCCTCCGCAGGGGCCTTCGGCGCCGCGGCATCCGCGGGCGCGGCGGCGGCGGCGTCTACCGGGGCGGCGGCCGGCTCCGCGGGGGCCTTCGGCGCCGCTGCGGCGTCCGCGGGGGCGGCGGCGGCGGCGGCGGCTGCCTCCACAGGGGCCTTCGGCGCTGCGGCATCCGCCGGAGCGGCGGCGGCGGCCGCGTCCACCGGGGCGGCGGCGGCGGCTGCCTCCGCAGGGGCCTTCGGCGCTGCTGCGGCGTCCGCGGGGGCGGCGGCGGCGGCGGCCGCATCCACCAGGGCGGCGGCGGCGGCTGCCTCCGCAGGGGCCTTCGGAGCTGCGGCATCCGCCGGAGCGGCAGCGGCGGCGGCGTCTACTGGGGCGGCGGCGGCCGGCTCCGCGGGGGCCTTCGGTGCTGCGGCATCCGCGGGGGTGGCGGCGGCCGCGTCCACTGGGGCGGCGGCGGCCGGCTCCGCAGGGACCTCGGGCGTTGCGGCATCCGCCAGGGCGGCGGCGGCCGGCTCCGCTGGGACCTCCGGCGTTGCGGCATCCGCCAGGGCGGGCTCCGCGTCCACGGGGGCGGCGGTGGCTGGCGCCGCAGGGGCCTTCGGCGCTGCGGCAGCGCCCTCCTCTGCGACAGCGGCAGCAGAGATGGCAGTCGATGTCGTGCTGTGATGGATTGCCCTGCCGCCGGAGGCCGCGAACCCTACCGCCAGGAGCACGGACGCGGCCAGCGCGGCGGCGGTGGTTTTTGACAAGCGACTTCGCGGAGCAGTGGCAGTTACAACTCGCGCTGCGTCGCCAGCATCCTGCACTGCAGGTCGCTCCTCGTCAGTCGTCAGCGCCTCCGCCAGGCTTGCATACCCTCGTTCTGGCATTGTGGCAGCTCCGGCGCCAAGGGGAATCGAAGCTGCAATCTATCTGGGGCAATCTGGAGCCGCTTGAGCCAAAACGGCTGAGAAGGGGAAATGAAATGAGAAGGAGAAGGAGAAGGAGGAGGTGAAGGAGAAGGGGGAGGAAGAGGAGGACGAGGAGGAGGAGGAGGAGGAGGAGGAGAAGGAGGAGGAGGAGGAGGAGGGGGAGGAGGGAGGAGGAGAGAGGAGGAGGGAGGAGGAGGAGTAGGAGAGGAGGAGGGATGAGGAGGAGGAGGAGGAGGAAGAGGATGACAAAGCCCAGCACGCACCACTGATGCTGCGGTGCACCCTCCCGTCCACAGAGCCCCCCGCCACAGAAGCTAGTGCGCGCGCTTCCTCTCACCGCGGCGAGCAGCCGCCAGGAACGGTGGGGGATATTCCGAGGAGGCACAGCGACATTTACATACAGCGAGGCCCGAGGGACCGCGGCGCCCCCCCAAAGCAGATCTACGATCTTGGAAGCCTCCCGGTTGGCGTCCGAGTAGATGGGGTCGGAGGAGGAGTCGGAGGAGGAGGAGGAGGAGCAGGAGTGGGAGGAGGAGGAGGAGAAGGAGGAGGAAGAGGAGGAGGAGGAGGAGGAGGAGGAGGAGGAGGAGAGGGGAGGAGATGAGGAGGAGAGGGAGGATGAGGAGGAGGAGGAGGAGGAGGAGGGGAGGAGGAGGATTGCGCCGCATCGCCCATGCATCGCCGATGCATCGGCGATGCCTTGGCGATGCCTTGGCGATGCGCCAGCGAGGCCGGCGATGCATCGACGACGTCGGCGTGGAGAAACACGGGTTCCGCATCGAGCCGCCTCGCCGATGCCTCGGCGATGCGGCGCAGTCCCCCGACCCCGTCCACGCCGAGCCCGTCTGGGAGGCCCAAAGACCCCTGAGACGCGGGGCGTGTGGGGCGGTCGGGGGCTCTCTTCTCTGAGTCCAACAGCCCCGACCTGGTGGTTGGGGACAAACGACGCCTGGATCTCTCGGGAGCGGCCAAGAGAGGGGGGTGTCCAAGAGAGGGGGGGTGCAAATCATGACCGGCGGCATGTGCGCGGCCCAGCGGGGGGGCCAGGGACGTAATGAAACAAGAAGAGGCGCCATGAAATCTGGAGAAATATCATGGCCCCCGCCATGATATCCACACCCCCCTAGTCCTCACCCCCCTCCTTGCCGTCCCCGGATCTCGGGGTTATCTGGAAGGTCCACCGCCGCCCGGGCTCGTCCCCGCGGAGCGCCGGCCAGCCTCCGACCACCGGGGCGCCCCGCCGCGCGGGGCAGCTCCCGGAGACCTGGCAGAGGGAAGCCACTGCCGAAGACTACTCCCCAAGCACTCGAATCGGCGGCGAGCCCGTGGCGGAAGCGAGAAGGGGCGGGCCTTCTCAGAAGGCTCGGGAGTCCCCCGACTTTTTTTTTCTGTTTGCCACTCTGCCACTGCTGGCTCGCGCACCAAGGAGGCTGCACGACTGCGTGGCTGCTCTTACGAGTTGGTTGACCCATCCGCCTTTGAGCGTCAGGGTATCCTCTTCCCTACCAGAAGCCTCCTTCGCGCTGGAAGGTAGGCGGGCGCAGAGAGCGTCCTGGATAGGAGGGGAGAGAGGGAGAGAGAGAGACCTGAACCTTCGAAGACATTCTCTACGCCCTGTTCTCGGAGTCCCCCGCCCTTCCGAGAAATTTTCTGAGCCTTCCCCGAAAGCATTGGAAAACCTCTCAGAAGGCCGGAGGGCTTCGGAGAAGTTCCGCCGCCTTCTGAAAAAAACATCCCCTCCTCGCTCGCCGCCGATCGAAGTCGGCACGCGCGGAGGAGGCTGCGGTCGAATTGCCACTCGTCAGACCCACCACCAACTTGGAAGTCTGGGGGGAGGGGGGAGGCGTTGACAGATGGGGCGTTCCGAAAATGGCCTTGCCTTCGTGGATCGAAGGAGGTGTCATCTCTTCCTCGGCGGAAGGCGGCGGAAGGGCGGCGGAAGGTCGGCGGAAGTTGGCGGAAGTAAAAAAACGCCTCCAAGCGATGAACACGTCTTTGGGTTCAGGGTTTCCGGAAACGCCCAGATGAATGTGGCATGAACGCTCCTCCTCCTCCTCCTCCTCCTCCTCCTCCTCCTCCTCCTCCTCCTCCTCCTCCTCCCGTGTCGCGCCGAAGCGTGGTGGGCCAGAACCGGCGGCGCGACATGCTAAGCAAACGCTCCTGACCTCAAGCCAGGGCAGCTGTTGGAGACCAGCACCGTGGCCACGGAGCCCGAGGAAGAGCAAAGGGAGCGCTTGGTGTTGACAGGAGGCTGCCAGCTGTCCCTGGAGCTGCTGCAGGACACAAGTTTCAGTGCCCGACCCCTCCTCTTGGTCATGAAGCGTGTGAGATCCTTTTGATGCGAAACGTTAATGGGGGGGGGACTGGCTCAGGGAGGGAAACATTGAGGTGGAATCGGCCGATACATCGCCGATGGACAAGCGCCAGGCCCCCGATAGCGAAGCTGCACGCTCCTGAGAGGGGTGGCCTATCGGGCCCCCGCCGGCGATCAGTGTGCGATGCGTTCCCCCCTGAGCCTATCCCCCTCTCCAACGCTGCCCCTGATCTGGCCACCCCGAGAACCGCAGACCTGCGCAAGTCCCCGGCATCCCCCGAACTCCGAGGTCGTGCTGCTCTCGCAGCGCGGACCCCCGGATGCCTGGACCCCTTGCGGTCGGGAACTTCTGCTCAGCGTGTCGCGGCGGCGGCCCTGGCGACACGCTGTGCCCTACAAGCGGATAGCGTGTCTCCCCGATCCGCGGGCGGGGGTCCGCGAAAGGCTCCAGATGTCGACGCCCAGGGACTGAGCAGTGGTTGGCGTGTCGCGCCGACGCGCGGTGGGCCAGAACCAGCGGCGCGACACGCTGACCCAAAGTTCCCGACCGTACCCCAGACCAGTTTCTCACCCCAACTGCCCCAAACCGACCGGTGTGGTTTTCTCGCGACAAGGAGAGGCGGGGGTGCCCCTGAGATCCCACGGCGCGAAAAGCATTGAAACACTGCAGAACATGGCGACTGGAACCCCAAACCCCATGCTCCTGCACCATTCTTCGAGCCGGATCGACTCGCGAGGGTCCTGGGGCCCGAAACTGTGCGAAAACGCCCGGTTCGAAAAAATGGAGGCGCCAGGATCTCAGTGGCCGAAGGTGATTTGAGCAGGGACCGACCGTCCCGGCATTCCTATAGTCATACCACGAAAAGTTCTTAGAACCCACAATCGGGAGCGGCCAAGAGGGGGGTGTCCAAGAGGGGGGGGTGCAAATCATGACTGGCGGCATGTGCGCGGCCCAGCGGGGGGGCCAGGGACGTAATGGAATAACAAGAGGCGCCATGAAATCTGGGGAAATATCATGGCCCCCGTCATGATATCCACCCCCCCCTAGTCATCACCCCCCTCTTTTCCGCCCCCGACACAAATGCTCTAATAACAAAAACAATGTTCTTAGAACATAACCCCGATGAGTTAAAACACGACAGCCCCAGCAAGAAATATTCTAAGAACGTTTCGTGGAGACCAGAAAAGGTTCTTAGAACATTGTTTGGTAGGCCTATAGGCATGCCGGGACGCTTCGCCACTGCTTGAGTGAT